AGAGTAACGAAAGACAGACAGTTGAATGTTAGCTAAAGGCTAAAAATTTCTCAATTATCTGTCGCCGTTTCGCAAAGTATTTTAGGATTTAGGGAGCTAGGAGACCCGTGATTTGAGAAGTAGCGTGCCACCATCCCCAGGTCCACAGTCGTGCCCTATTTTCACGATTTAAGCATCTGGTGAAAGGTCTGGAAACGGTAAGAGAGTAAGAGAGAAAACGCTTTTCCATTCCTGGGGTAACTGTCTTAATCGGATTTTTTATGACCATAAATCGTGAAAAGAGCTGATTGATAGGGGATCCGCATATACTTATAACAACGCCCTTACAACCCTATCGAAAGATCACTTGTTCCTGTTGCGGACTTTTTATTTGCATTCTGTACAGATCAGCCCAACTGAAAACATTGCCGTTAATGTGTCATTTCGCTCGAAAGGGAATTTGTAGGGTGTAGTTTGCCCCTCGCGCGAGCGATAAGAAAAGAGGGGATCGCGGGTCATCGCGCAATAAAAACCCTATCCACCCGACGCTGTCCTTGCTTTCCGAATAAAATTTTAGTACGCTAATGTCAATTGATTATAGTTAGATAAGTGGGTTTCTTTTTAACGATGCTTTGCGAAAGCGAAAACTCTTCAACTGAAAGTGAAGTTATTGAATGATTCGATGACTTTCGTTTCGATTTCAGCCCAATGGATACAGCCGTGAAAGCTCTACGGGTCGAACAACTGGATGCACATGTATTGGATCGCGAAATCAGAGACATTGTCCATTCTAGCGTCAGTTTTCTGCTTTTATACCCTCTTTTCTCCATGTTTTCTTGGATCGCTTTGATTCGGACTTAGAACTTTATTCTGTGAATTATCTAAACAGTTCAGCTGGAGGAATGGATCTCAACGTTGCCAACTGCCTTCCAACGCTACATGGATCGAGCCAAACCGGAATTGCGATTGGGATGTGAGGCAGCGCTCTGGACTACGCGAATATATGCAGGTAGAGTAATACGAACCTCTCCACTGAAGCAAGGGGCAACTTGGGTAATTCGTGAGTTCAAGCGCTTTTGGAAGGTTCGAACAGCTATAAACGCCTGGTAAAAGAACTTATGCTCGCCTTAGTGGCAATTAGCCTAACCGTAAAATGTTAGGGGCGTAGCTTACTTTAAGCTTATCATATTTTTATTAAAATGACGATTTATACCTTATTTTAGCATTTTTAAAACCATTTTCCGAATTCAGCACAAAAACTTTATGAGATACCTGAATGGAAAGCGCGCTTCTTGCTGAGCAGAATGCGCTAAATCCCATTTGCTGTTTTTCTCTTTTTGTAACTTCCGAGTTAAGGTGATTCTGAAACTTCTGAAATCAGGTCCAGAATCAGCGAAGAATTCTGCACAAAACAGGTCTGTTCTCAGCTCGAATTGCCATACTGACAAAAAACACTTTACATACTGTGAAGCCCAGCCTAAGCCTAGGCAAGCATATGTTAATACGTGAGGATGTCCGATCATTAAAAATTTGCTCAAAAGTCCGAGATTTTTTAAATTCATAAGTCCGAGCTCTAATAATTTGCTCGAACACCCGTATGTTGAATCTAGACAAGGCGAGGCAAACTTGTGTTCACAGCGACCTAATTAATTCGATTCATCGAAAAATCTTAGGTTCGAGTCCAGGCCAAGGCATCCTTGATGTCTTCTACCGCGGCTATACCACCAGAAAGGTTGCTGTTCACTTTGTCATCAGCGTGCTTGGTTTGTTCCCAAAATTCCGATAAAACACGCGACTGTCTAGTGCCGTATCTACTGAAACGTCTGGTAGACTGGCGGCAGGACACTCATCGTTTGGTCGAAAGATTGGAGGGAGCGACTACGGTAGGTTTTAAAGCAAACTGTTATGGGGAAGCAGAGCAATTGCAGCTTGCCAACATTGCACACTACCTGTACTTCTTGAGGAAGGGCGGCTTTAGCACGCTCGTCGAGAGAGTGCTTCGGTTACGCAATTATAATCGAGATGCTCCGTCAATGGGTATGTGGGTTTGTTGAAGACTTTTTCAGTGAAAATTTTAGGAAATTCAGATTACGAAAGGATTCAGTTTTTGGCAACTGACTAGCGAATATGTTTATTCGAATAATTATTGCGCGTTCAGGAAATGTGAATCTTGACAATCAGAACCGCGAACTGCTGTGGCACACTTTCCGTGATTTAATTGTTCTCCTCTGGCCAATTTATCGGCTTGGTAAGTGACTTTTGCGGACCTTTTAGCCATTGTCCAGGAGGTGCATAACGGCAATGTATGAGCCGGCAAGAGTACCTTTCAGCGGAAAATCGTTGGTTGAAATGGAGCCAGAAGACGGCAACAAGTGAATCGGTTGACGTTTGCCCGATATGTGGCGAGGTGTTTGTAGCCCCGGTTGAGGTGGAGCTATGCGGGCATGCCTTCTGTTACTGGTACGTATTTCATTTCCAACAATCTCCCCCTTAGCCGCCCGCAGTCCTGTCCGATTTTTAGGATTTAGGTATCTATCGAAAGCTCTCTTGCGCGGTAAACATAGTATGTTGTAGGTGCATAGCAGCCGGCCCTAGCCGAAATTCGTGCCCAATCTGCGCCTCAACACCATGCACTCTACGTCCCGCACGCGGAAACCGCATATTCCCACGCGAATAAAGGAAATGTCCCACGCTTCGGAAGCTGGGAAACATTTTTACAATATTGTTCTGATAACTGTAAAAAGGCTGGGAAACTACGTATATTAATTTTTCGGGCTGTACTCTAAGTGGGGCTCCGAAATCTGTTCCAAGGCCCACAGGGTTGATTTTTGGCGAATAGCCAGATGCGACGGCAACGCCAGCCCGCCGCATAATCGTTTGCCGCTGTTTGAACGCGAAAACAACGATCAGAGAATCACCGAGACCGAGTGACTGGCTGCCTTAAAAGGCATTACGACATGCAATCGCCGTGCACACAAGAAGCGTTTTTTGCCCCGAGACTATTTCGGTACTCAAATATGCTACGTTTTTGCGCAATGAAAGCCATTTTCTGGTGCTTTTCGGCAGCAACCCTGTCGGTTTTGGCCAGTATGTTCAATCCCCGCGCACGCGAATTTGACTTACGAGCCTCTTTAACCAGCTTCCTCTGATCGAAATTCATCCCATCGCAGGAGTATTTATGTGAATTTTTATAGTCATCTGCCGATTGGATGCCTCACAACACCAACAAGTCACATTCCACAAGCCATTAGCTTTATTCTCAAGGCGATAAAGGGGACGGTTTTACTCATAAAATCCATTGAATTAGTTGCGTCAATAAATGGCGAGTACTTCTAGGTAAATTGGGGGGCATGGGCAGGGATATACACGTGTCTTGATGGCTCGAGGGCTAGTAGCGCTCGGTTCGTCGGGTTCAACTTCAGGCTGAATACGGATTCTGTCGTGGCGCTTCGTAGAAACACCTAAAACTTAACGCTAAGTTTTTGAAAGTGTTGATTTCACAGGTTCGTAGCCCGCTGTAGTTATGGAAATTTGTCAAACGGATGAGCGGAGCACTTGGGCATGAGAGAGAGAGAGAGTGAGAGAGAGAGAGAGCGATAGAGAGACAGAGAAAGAGAGAGAGAGAACGAGAAAACGAGAAAACGAGAGAGAGCTAGAGAAAGCTAGCGAAAAATCAAAGACATTACACCAAAGACAAGCGGCTGGCCCTCGACTCATGCCCATCCAATTCATCAGTGAGGGAAGCAGGAAGCTTTTTGGGTTTGAAGGAGAGGAACACCTGCCACCCATTTAGACTCCAACAAAGCATGTGAATCCAAGAGTCGGGAAATTGGCTAGACAATTGCCGCCAGCGGAACTTTCAAACCTAATCGGTGTGAGACGCAAATTAACTAGAAATCGATCACCCTGCCTTTGTCTAGGTAAAAGGGGGATTTCAACGCCTGAATTCGAGGTATCCCTTCTGGCTTGAGGTTCTTTGCTTCTCCGCTACAGCAGCCTACGCAACTTCCAACCAAAGCCTTACCAAGATTATGGAGACAATGTTTGTTGAAATCACATCTCGTCCCGACCGCGAGCAGCCATTGCAGAAGTAGCCACCATATAGAGAAGACCCATCAACACCATCAGGATAATCAGATTGACCGCCAGAATGATTGTGTTCTAGAAAAAACAAGTTATTTTTAAGCTTTTGCTTCAAAAAGTATTTTGGGGCAGGTGCGTGTTTCAAACACGACATTGTCGTTCAATCATGGTTACGTTTTGGTTCCGAACATTTTCCCCAATATGCTCTGCTTCCACTCTCTAACGCTCTCTCGCTCTCTCTGCACCAAAAAATAAAACTCTTTTCTGATTTGTTACCTTATCAAAGTGCTGCTCGGCGACTTCACTGAGGGACGAGCGTCGCTTCTGCATTCTTGGCTGACTAGAACCGGGGATGTTAGCAGGCATCTTTCGGGGGGGCAACTCGATCAAAATGCGAGCGGGGCAATGCTTTCAGGTTTTGGGACGGTGGCCATCTCAAACGCAGTGGGGTCCCTGTTGACCCACACGCAGAAATGATTTCGGGATTTCAGAGCAAATGTTGAGAGGACCTGTCTCCGCAACGGAGAGCGTCTAGCGTTAGATCCGGGTAGCAAAAGCAGATCGAGGCAAAGCAAAAAGCGGGCTGTTGCGAGACCTTGAAAGTAGGTTATTCAGGCAAGAGTTTTCGGTGATCATTTTCAGTCGAATTATGTTCACCTTTGCCTTCACCACTACCTCCTCATATGTACAAAACGTGAAACGCGAAAATAACGGTTATCATTTTTCTGTTCCGGGTAGAGCAAATAAGCGCAAAATCCCACCTGGGCTTCTCCATTGTATTCTTGCCGTGGGTTGCAGATTAATAGGCGGTTAGAACTGGCGCACGAGGGGGGACAGGCGGAAATGAAAATCTGGAAAGCACCATATCAGCCGAGGGAAAGCGGAATATGCGTTGAAAGCTGAAGCGGAAAGCCGATAGTTGGAAGGCATGCAAATGTAGAAGAAACAAGAGGTGGATGAGGAGGAGGAAGATGACGCTTTAGCAACAAAAATTGATCTAAGGCAACAACGGTTGTAAAATCATCTGTGTGTCACGTAACTTAGGAAAAAAATTAGCGCCTTTTGAAAGTTCTTGGTCAGCCGCAACGGGTTTCTGACTTTTCGATTCGACAACAACCCATTTTGTAGCTGACGCGCATTGGCTCAAAAATTAACCGCTAATCGCGGTGGTATCAGTTTAGACGATGCCATAAAACGATGCTGTACCCATCCCTTTAATGCCTGGTCAACTGATAGGCAGGTAACCTGGTTCGAGAGCATTTAAATAGCCGTTCAAAGACAAGAAAATAACAAATAACAACAGAACCGCTAGCCCGGTGACGGGTCGTGCAATTAGTCCGCGGCGAGTTGAGGAGGGGGGGATGCTTCAAAACATGTTGAGGCTGACGAGAAGGCGATTGCCCTTGGGCCTCGTCTGTGTACGGGGCTGTACTCGCCACGAGGTGTCCAAGAGGCTATCGGCGCCTCAAAACGGTGAAAATGGATATCGTACACAGGTAACGAGAGGAGGTTGTTTAGTGGATTGGGGAGTCGGGACCCATGGCTCGATCACCAGCCCATCTTTTTTCTGCTTTTTCGCCCCGACGACCCGCGGGGGGGGAATGGGGCCAAGCCGCGACGGCTGCTGGGAACTTGTGGCGCCTCGGGGCCCATGATATTGGTCTATGTTCGAGAGGCATAGCTTATCCATAAAAAGCGGGAATTGACGCTCTACCTGGATAGGGTAAGCTCATGTTCGATTCTAAAAACCCTGCTTATATACTTTCTTTGCCCAAAATACTTGGTTGTGGAGCAGTCTGCGGTCCACCCTATCCCCCCGCCCCCATTCTATCTCGACTCCCCATTGTCCTACAGTTTTCAACGTATATTAAAATGTTCGTTGTCGTTTGGGAAGTATTTTGATATCCCTTACCTGGAACTGAGATACAAAAGTTCGAGGCCCGCTGGGGTAGCGGGGTGAAACTGCACTCTTACCAAACTTTCCTGCTTTTTAGCCATGCAGATATGCATAAAAACGAGTTTAGCGAAACTACCGAACTTCTTAATAGTGAAATTATAGAATTCAATAAATATTCATTCAATGTTCGTGGCAAGGAAGGGTCTCGAAAATAAGAGGTATCGATTTGGGGGCCTAGGCCCAGAGCCGGTGATGGGACACCTGATCGCTGGGTCTCTTCACCCTGGATCTTGTCATGGATGAGCAGGAAGGAACAAAATACGAACGGAGACTCAAAACGATGTCGCAACGGATCGCCCTCGATCGACTGGTGTCTTTGTCGGACCAACAGAGAATTATAGGGTGCGTTTGGAATTTTGGGATGTGACCTTGCTCGATCGATCTAGCTTAAAATTAAAATAAAAAAATTAAATCACTTTTTTGAAAAAATGCTGAACGATTACGGTCTTGTGAAAATTTGCGCCGAAGTGGGCGCTTGGTCGATTTTGGACGACGTCTAACAAAATATAAACTTTGCGAAACTTCTAGGTCAGCCGTTTTTGAAGATAAATTTGTTCCGAATTTGAAACCTTATCCAACGTGGTATTTCACACCACAGGCTCCGAAAGCACCTATAAACGACTTCGTGCAAGAACAACTGTCAGACTGTCCTCGGTCTTTAATGCAAAATCGACACTCAATTAGAAGCACCAATTGTTCATAATTTATTCCTCATAACGTGCGCATTATCACAAGATATTGATCATCACAAAACAAGAAACAACATTAATTGGCATGGCCCGCAATGTGTGGCATGTACAACTCACCTTTTTATCAATCTAACAACCCGTGTTTTAGAAGGGAACCGGACAATTCGAAGTGGGGACAGATTCAAGAAAATAAACACTTAAGCGGGCATTATCGTAAGATTATCGGGGGTTTATCATGCGGAAACGTTTGCGAGAAGATCGTCGCCCCCATCTTCCAATCGTTTTGCGGTCCGTCGAGCTTTTCGCTGGGAGAGCCATTGGCCGAACGTCTTCAGGGCGTGGATCTGACCTAAAGCAAAAAGTCTTTGTTTTTCTAAGTTATTAAAGGGGTGGTTTGGAAAAGATCACGATATTTAATCGCGCACGACGAAAATGTCTTATCGGAAGTTCGGCTTCCTGGCCCCCTTTAACGGGTGCGAATTCTTATACCGAGTATTAAGAAAGATTTGTATGTGAGATGAAACTAGAGGGTAAAAACTAGCTGATTAGAAAATTGTTATTAATATTTTCGCTTATTGAAAATATTTTAATTTGCGTGTATTATTTTTGCACCGTGCTTGCCCCGGGCTTGGGCATAGCCCTAGGCGCCTGAGAAACACAGGTATTAGTAATAAGAAAGAACGAACCTCCAATAAGTACGGGCATGCCGAGCATCGAAAAGCAGCAAAACGTACGGCCTATGTAGAACATCCAGAATAGTAGAGGTGTGGCGACGGTTACAATCTTCTACAATTCAACATATTTGGTTTCGCATAAAACTGGGGGTGGACTGACCCGATAGTGAAGTGGCAGGTCGGGACCAACGCGATGGAGCTGGTCGAGGAAGAAGTCCGATGATGATAGGTAGCTGTTGATCTGGATAATGTTTTTATAGGTAGGCGTTTAGCTTAGCCCCTCCGTCACCCCCACCCCAGTCGGCGCCTAACTCTGGTATCACCGTTTCCCCTAAGTCCATAGGGCTATAATGTTTACTGAAATGTGCGTCTTGCTCCAGTGAGTATTTTCATATGCATTACAGCCCTGTAGCGCAACCGGGAGCCTAGATACAAAACTTTGGGCCATCGCAGTTCCGATAAGTTACGATCTAAAAATTGTTCTACCTGGAGGAATAAGGTGACAAGGATCAGAAAGAAGTGAGAACGGCCATATAGACCCAGACATCGCATCGGGTCTTCCCAGGCGTAGAAAAGGTCGGATGAGTGCAGCTGGTAGCGCTCCTGTTAAGAAGTCTTTTAGAACTTTTCTCAAGTCTCGTAGCAAAAAAAAAGAAGAAAAAAAAAGAACGTATCCTAAAGCAAAAAGAAAACGTAAAACTATTGCATGGTAATGCATTGCCTGTGGAACTGTTCCGAAGCCCGTTTCGACATTGATTAACTGACCTTCATGGTCATCTTATGGGGTGTCGCCACTCGTTTCAGACATAAATAGATTCCCAGATAGGTGAGCACGACAAAGATGGCCAGCAACACCTGAGCACAATATTCAATACATTTGTTTTGAGGCGGATACCTCAAAAATGGCGGCTCCCGCACACAAAATTACAGACATGTCGACGGAAAACAAGAGGACGAGAAACAGAACACGCTCCGAGCCGATGCACCATACCTCTGGAAATTTCAAAAGTTGAGAAAATCTTTAGCGGGGGAATAGCGTGGAACGTTATTTACCCTAAATCCACCTAGTGAAGTTTTCGGCACTGGACTGTCAGCGGGTGGTTTAGCAGGTGGAAAACTAATTTTTGTTCTTGCTAATAACAAAAATTGTCGTCTTATAATCTTTTTAATAGTTTTTGATTGCTATAAAGCAACAAGAAAAATGTTTTAAACGTCTTGGAATATCCGAAATTTTTACCTTTTTTGGTAATATTTGATGCATTTATCACCGAAAAGTCAAAAATTATAATAGTTTTTTGAGCTTTTAATATCCGAAAACAGTGTGAAACGCTTAAAAAATTATTTATCTTTTGTCATAGGACCGTCGAGGATTACTAGGAAGAATTAGTTTTCCCGCGTTAAAAGTCCCCCACTCGCCCTGCAGTACCGAGATTTCTTTAGCGTTTTTTCGTACATTGGGCGGCGTTATGTCAAAGTTAGGTCCCCCCCGCTAACAAGCTAGTACCAAAATAGAAGTGGATACCTTTCTTGCCGGCCGTCGTCGCGATCTCGAAAATGAGGGCAATTGTGGCGAGCGGGACGAGCAACGAGACGGCTGGTGTTGTCTCGATGGCACGGAAAACTGCAACATGTCACATAGTACCACGTCAAACAAAAATCACTATACCCCACGTGGCGTCTAAAAGATTGGCGACTAGCCAATGAAGCAGAAGCAGCCCTTTACGGGTGGAGACGAACCATCGACAAACTACGGAAGCAGCTGGAAAAAGCCCCGAATTTAATTAGTAGAACTCAATTTCGATACTATCCTCTGCATTCATTTTATATGTTGTTGGCTCAAAGTTTATTTGGCTGATGAACTTATGAATCTTACGTATTTAAACTTTCAGTAAAAATACGCCTCCTGTAGCCCAAAACCTAAAAGCTTCACCACATTGGTTTGGAAAACTGCGACTAACTCATGCGAACAATTTACCGTTATTGAGATTAACCTGGCCACCGGACAACTAGCCACACTCTCAACATTAAGAAAGCGATCCGTGAAATATTTCAGTAATTGTCATCTACAAAAAAGCTCACCAAAGGCGACCAGGGCGAGCCAAGCGGCTGCCGCAATCCACACGACCATTCACATCACGTTGCTAAGCCGAATTAAGCACTTAACAAAGCTTATTTCAATATTTAGATGAGCTCATGGAAATGGCCGGAGAACACGAAAAATTAGTGGGATAGGAAGCGGATTAAACTTAGGAAAAAAGACGTCCTGGTGTTTTTTGGGTTGTTCCGCAGTTAGGAGGTGTACGCCGGAAAGGTGCACTTGCCTCAACGCTCCGACCACGTGCCTCAAAAGAGCGGGCCCAGCGCGAATGAATTGAATGTAAGAATGTGGAGGGGGAGAGGTATAAGGAATGGAATATAGTGCAACGACGAAGAGGAGGAAGATCGATAGGCAAAAGCCCTGAAGGGCTCCCGTCCCACACTCCCGGCAGGTGAGTTCGAGTGGCTCCAATGGTCACTTCATACAAATGGCATTTCGGGAACGGGAAAGAGCCACGCGCCAATTGTTTCCTCGTCTGTTGCCAAGGGTACCAATCGTTGATGCCATTTGATCAGCGAGGGTTTTTGATGGGCCGAGGAAAGTGGCATTTCCGGACCTTTTAAACCTAACTTGGGTGGTTAAGGAACAGTGCCGTTTAGCCGTTAAGTTAAGAAGGAAGTGAGCGTGTAGTAGTTAAACAGTAGAAAAATGTTTTACAAATCGGGTCAGGGTTGTCAATGAACCATAGTTACTAAGCACAAGCTTATAAAAGTCCTGATTTCCGAGAAATCGGCTTTCTGACTCGGTTATGTTCATGATGTCGAAAACCAAGACGTCGAAGTTTTATAACGTGGAAATTTCAGAATGCCGTGTTTTGCATATGAAAATCTTCCGGAAACGCCTCCCTGTTATGCAAAAAACTCCGACTTACGACATCGAGTTGGCGAATTACGACCTGATGTTAGCGAACCGCTAAAAACCTCTAGGACGCCAAAACTGACAGAAAATGGAATTCAAATGTCGGCGTGAAGGGCATAAAAACAGACAGCATAGGGGCGAGGCGAGGCAAACATTTGCTCGCTGAATGGGGGGAGGGTCTTGCGGAAACTCGCCATTTCGAAGGCAGCTATCCAATTTTGCGAAACTTAGCCCTATAGCAGTGATATTTCGGTTTTACTTGCCGTAAAGTTAGGTAAGCGTAAAAATTGTCGCAACCGAACGGCCGAAAATCCAACTTGACTGGCTCTGGGGTGTTAGCAGGGGGGTTTAGCATGACTATATTTTGTCTTTTCACTATGCTTACCCATTAATAATAAACACTACTTTTCTATAATGCTTTGCATAGTTTTGGATTGATAAGACTGAATATTACACAAACTCTTGAAGGATTTTCGACAATTCAAACATTTTACCTTTTTTAGTTACTTTTCATATATGTTTGACCAAAAAGTCACCAATTTTTGGAAATTTCTACGGGTTTAGGAGCTTTTTATACCTAAAAACTACGCAAAAATGCTATAAAATGGTTTATATTTTGTGATAGGGCCGTACAGGCTTACTGGCGAGGAATTAGTTTCCTCCTTGCTAACAGTCAAAGATCGCTCGTCTCACGATCCGCTGGAGCTAATCATTTTGAAGACCGAGAGGTTGAATAAATAAAGCCTCAAGGGAACTGCGATGACCTCAAAAACGATGGAACGACAGAATAAAATGCCCAGCCGTTCACCCCCGCCGTGCACCACCATTTATTCAAGTTCCGAGGAGATTCGGACGGGGAGGGTTGTGGATGGATGGATGGAGGGAGAAATGGAGGGTGTTTGAGCTGCGCATGAGAGGGCAGAAAAGAGACAAGCAAGAAGCCTGAGGGGGGATAAAGAGATATCCATGCCTGCATCCCCTTACCACTCACCGCCAATCCACCCATCTCAGACTTTCTTCCCTCAGCCCAGCCTCAACCTTTTCCTCGTTAAAGGGATTCGGAAATCAAAATTCGTGCGTGCGGGCATTGAAACCTGTTGTCAAACAACGAAAGGGTTCCTGTCGAGAAGCACCGGAAAATATATGCACGCACCTATGCACTATACTTCGCCAACCACCCCGGGTGGTACCACCCCTAGGGGTGGTTGGAGGGTGGGGCTGGGGGTGGTTGGGGGTGGTCGTGGGGGTGGTTGGGGGTGGTCAGAGGGTGGTTGGGGGTGGTTGGGGGGTGGTCAATGCATTAGCCACCCCACCCCACCCCTTACAAAATTTTTTCATGATTTGGCAATAAAAGCTTGTTCGAGTCAGATATGGTCCCTCAAAGACAATGTAGCCGGAAGACCAAAAAGTTTTATTGCCAGATCATGAAAAAATTTTGTACGGGGTGGGGTGGGGTGGCTAATGCATTGACCACCCCCCAACCACCCCCCAACCACCCCTCTGACCACCCCCCGACCACCCCCCACGACCACCCCCCAACCACCCCCAGCCCCACCCTCCAACCACCCCTAGGGGTGGTACCACCCGGGGTGGTTGGCGAAGTATACTATGCACGCTCATCTTTCGACGGACGGCGCGATTTGTTCGTTACGAGCGGAAACTTACCCAATTATGTGAAAATGCAAGAGCGGGGACCAAATTTCTCCCAGTATTAGCGCTCGGCTCTAAAAATATAAAGATTCTTATTGAATGCTGCACACCGTTTTTAGAAATCAAATGCCTATTAAATGTATCGAAATTTCTTTTTGTGGTTTGGTCAAAAGTATGCAAAGTGTCCAAAAACGGTCAACATTTCCGAAATTTTAAAACATTTTTGATAACTCTGCAGCAAACAAAAACTGCGAAAAAGATAGAAGCTAGCTAGAAAATTTAAACTACTATCCTAAAACAAAAAATTGCGGACCCTTAATGCACAGGTATCGAATATATATATATTCTTAGATAAGTTTTAAAAGGCGATACTTGTAGTGAAAACCGGGCTACGTTTTGGGAAAATCAAGGTGCGTAGTGCAATGACAGAGAGAGATTGGAGGTTCCGGTTGACGTGAGTGCTGCACCTGCGCCGATTGTGATGCAAAATCTGATATGGGAACATTGCGATGGCTTTATTCTTTGTCGCTGGACGAAGGAAATTCGGGGCGGGGGGGGGGGGGGACGGCGAGACCGTAAAGCACCAAATAGTGGGTTGGACACAGTGGGGAGAAACACGGCTTGAATGGATGGAAAGAGGCGGAGGGCGAACAATGATCGATACGAGTCACAATATATTGTTTGTTCGCCGGGGTGTGGCTGCGTGAGCGGGGCTAGCCAAGGGTACCATAAAAGGCATTGAGCAGCGTACAAACGAGACAAGAAGCATATACACAGTAGCAAGTAAATATTACTGAGAGGATAGAAATCTACTGGGTGTCCCAAAAAAGAATGTTCGCAATTAGCATGCAGGTCTTGCATAAATCAGCATTTTCATGGTTTTTGACGTACAACTTGCCCATAAAAATACATAATAAAGAAAAGGAGCCCTCCTTGTTGTCTCGCCTTTTCGAGAACTTTCGATAGATACCTAAATCGGGACAATCGGACACGACGGCGCGTGGCTCGGGGGGTTATTTTTTCGGGACACCTTGTAATGTATAAGTCAGAATTGCTGCCTTGTCAGACTAAATTATGGCCTTCCGAAATAATGTCATTTGATGGTGGTATATGAGAAGCTGATCTGCTGAGGCTGATCGAGCTAAACCTGGGCAATCTGTTCCTGCTGGGACGAAGGCGATGCCTGTCCGCCCGGGCTGGCCACCACCTTGATTGGGATCGAGCGAGCCGGTGATGCCTCCTTAAATGGCGGAAATGCATTAGAATAATCGTTCCCACCTTCTTGGGTGCAACTGCAGATACCGTGAGTAGTCCATCGGATGCCAAGGAAGAAGTGACGGATTCAGGCGGACAACCCTTCGGCAACGCCACCTTACGTGTGAACTGTCTAAAATTGGTGAGCTGATAGCAGCACGGGGATATTTTTCGCTTTATCACAGCACCTACCTTTCAATACTTCCAAGCTCGTCGGTGCGCTCGCCGTGCTTGGCCTCGATGACGATAAAGTCGCCGACAACCGACACCTAGGAGCTGCATGTTAAAATCGTTTAGCCAGAAATTCCTTGCTAAGCCCTAGATATTTCCGTTGACTTGCCCACCTTCAGCTCTTCCGCTTTATAGTCGCTGACGTTAATCGTAATCTGCACGGAATCGTCGGTCTGCTGGAGTGTTCCTAAAGGGAAATGTTAAATTGTCACTTTTACTATAGAATATGACGCCCCCAAGCCAATATCGATACTGACCAACGTTGGTGCTGACAGTGCGAGATGAGCTGGATTGATGGCTAGAAAAAGCCGGGCTGAACGTCGGGAAATTCGGGAAGCCGGCGATCGTCGGCAGGTGCTAAAAATTAGATTGAACGATTTTTCGCGACAACATGGCGCTTGCTTGAAACTACGATTACGATTAATGTTGTTGTGATTGGCGCGGGGGGGGGGGGGCCCCTTTTGGGGGGGGGCCGGGAAGGCTTTTTGTTTTTTTTTTTTTTCTTGTTTACGCATTTATTTGGCCTCGGCCCGATATCGGACCAAAACACCAATTCTATTTTTTTTTTTCCATTCTATTTTTTTAATTTTTTATAAATTTTAAAAAAAAAAAATTTAACTTATAGGGTTTGGGCTGGGCGGTTTCTCCCCTCTTCCCCCTTTTTTTTTTATTTTTAAATTCCCTCCATAATAAACATACAAAAAAAATTTAATTTTATTCATAATACAATAAATTTATATAAAAAAATAAAAAAAAAAAAAAATAACCATTAAAAATTATTTCGTAGGAGGCATTTAAATAAAAATTTTTTTTTTTTCCCCACCCCCCCCTCTTTCCTTTCTTTACCCTCCCTTCAGGGGTTTAAAAATTTTTTTAATTTTTTTTTTTTTTTTTTATAAAAAAAAAAAAAATTTTTTGTTCGGCCCCGCCCCCCCCCCCCCCCCCCAAGACCCCCCCCCCGGGGCGAAATTAACCAATGTTGTTTTACCTGCAACACCGATTGCGTCGAGAAGGGCGAACCGCTGCGGACAACCCGGGGAGCATCTTCGATTACCTGAAAGCCGGAAAGGAGGCTCTGGACTGTTAGCGGGGGGGAGGGCAGCGGGGAAAACCACTTTTTGTTTATGTTTTTGGGTATGTTTCGATAATCTGTTGACATTGTGTATTTTACAAAGTTTTTTATTAGTTTTTGCTTGCTAGAAAGTTATAAAAAGATTTCTTTTAAATTTGAAAATTCGCAATCTCGACCCGTTTTCGCACATTCTTGACCAAAAAGTCAAAAATTTGGGGCCCCCTCCGCTAAGTCCAGAAACGGAAAGGACGAGAATGTTTTATATTGAAGAAGCAGAATGCAGTCAATAACACCTTACCTTTTTCTCATAGGTCCTATTGTATGTCGTTTGCGTGTTGAAGGTGGCCATCTTGCTAGAAAAAATATTTTACAGCCGTAGGAGGGTGTGGGGCACTTGAAAGTCATTCAATTATTGTAAGCATCAAGTTTAGACGCGCGTTTAAAAAGATGTGTTTCGAAGTCAGCAATCCTAGCAACAAAGTACAGGGATGGTCTAATGAATACTGAGCTTATCCGGGAGGCCGCCAGCTATTTATCTGTGTTGTTTTGGGGGGACCCCCGGGGGGAATGCTCACATCCTCCCCCACAAACAGCTGCCAGGGGAATGTCGACATTGGAACGCGGGCAATCCCCGGTTATGTCTACCTGGCTGATGTTCGGGGATATCGGCGGCCGAGATCGAGGAGTTGTGGCCCTGGTCGAGTGGCGATCCCACGCAAAAGCCTATGACTCAAACCCTGGCCCCCCGTTCACGTACACAGCGGGGTGCCTCTAGAGGCCTTCAACACCGGGTACTATAGTAGGCCCTTGCCCTCAACCCCCTACACATTATATTTTCTTGGACCTGACTACTAACAGGCCAGATGGTTGGCAAATCCATCTTGAAGATTCGAGCCATAATGTTCGAAAAAGTGAAGTTCCTGCAACTCTATGCCGATTTTGGCCGGCTAATGCCAACGAAAGCAATAACAAAACAGTAGAATTAGCAGCCAAAATAGTGCCGAGAAAATAATGAAACGGGTAATGAATAATAAAACAAGGAAGCTACTGGATGATCTAACGCCTTGGATGTAAAACTATCTAATATTGTGCTATCACATCTAGGTTCGGCGGCTCCAAACCGCCAATATTAACCGATCAAAAAATTTGTCTAGAACCAAAACTCCGTTTTAAACTATCGATTCGCGGAGACGATCGGCAAAAAGTGACACCGAGGAAAAGTCGGGAACAGATGGCGACTTTTCGTTGGCTTGTCTCTGCCTGGGACCGGGTCCTCTTCTCTCACAGGCCCCCTAGTAAATAGCTTTGCACTCCAATACCTCCCCGCTTTCCATCATCTCAAAAAACGAGACTGTATCACACTGACACTGAATGTTTATTAGGTGGCCGACTCCCAGTCCTTTACAGGGTAAACCGCAAATTATTAACAAAACTGTAATACCGCAATACCCACAATCACAACAAAAATATACAGTAAAATACACACACGAACAGAGATCAAGTACTTTTAGGCAAGGTATC